GAAAAATCCCCGTGTCTATTACTTCATTTTTCTGGTAACTGTAGAGATGATGTGGAGATCAGCAGAAATCACTTAAAATAAGGAGATAAAATGCATGTATCCATGAAACAAAGCCAGGATGCTATAAAAAAAAATAAACAATTGAACGATAAGAAAGATCTTTTTGAGTCTTAAAAATAGGGCAGCAGGAAATTTAAAAACACAATAAAAAGGCTGGAAGATAAAATGAAGGAAATCTCTAGAAGATAAAATAAAAAGAGTAAGAAAATAGGGGTAGAAAGGTAATAAAATGAAAACATCAAGCCTACATTTCGACTAATAGAAGGTCCAGAAAGCATGAAGACTGAAACTGGAGGGAGAAAAGTTATCAAACTTTTAAAAAAGAACACTTTTCAGAGTTGAAGAACAAGATTTCTCAGATTGCAGAACCATCAAGTAGCCAGTCTTTGGATAAAAAGACCCCCACTGCCAGGTGTAATCCCAGCTACTCAGGAGACAGAGATCAGAAGGATCACAGCTCAAAGCCAGCCCAGGCAAATAGTTTGTGAGATTCTATCTTGAAAAACCCTTCACATAAAAAATGGGCTGGTGGAGTGGCTCAAGCGGTAGAACACCTGTCTAGCAAGAGCAAGACCCTGAGTTCAAAACCCAGTATCACCAAAAATAAAAAGACCCACACTAAGGCACATTGCCATGAAATTCCGGAACATCTTGGAGGGGAAAAGTCCTAAAACCTTTGAAAGCAACACAAGAGGTTATGCTCAAAGAATGAGTAATCACAATATATATCTCATCTAGAACCTTCTAGAGCAATACTTGGAAACTTTTGATGGAAAAATAAATTTCAGTCCAGTTATTTGAACCTAAAAGCATCTCCTGGAATGCAGGGATTGAAATGACTTCTGAGGCATTGTTTCCTAGGAAGCCACTAAAGGATGTGCTCCAGCAAAAAGAGAACAAACCAGCTATAGATGCTAGTGCTGGGAGGACCCAAGCATGGAAAGGAGTCACATTTGGAACAAGGGTTCAGAGAACTCAGACAGAAATCATGTCACCAGTGGAAACACATGCAATGAATGTATTTAAGCACATTGGATATTTATTGGCAGCATAAAATAGTGGTATTGCAACAAGTGGAATAAACGAATTAGGGGTTCATGCACCACCAGGGAGACAAACAACAATAACCAAAAAACCCAAGGTAATACTCAACTCCAGGAAAATTAAAGGGTTATATAAAAAAAAGAAGGCATTACTTGGACCAGCACTGAGCAATATTTACAGTTATAATATTTACAGTGGCTTTTCATTTAATTAAAATTAAATAATAGAAATTATGGATGGAAATACAGGAAGAAGAGGAAACAGACATTCAGGGTACAAACTTTCTTCCTGGACCAATGTAATCCTTTCCATGCAGAGAGGATCTTTAAAAAAAAAAAAAAAGTGATCAAAAGACAAACGGATGTCTTAGTGGACTCTACATTCTGTTGTCGTAGTTTTTAGAGGGTAAGGGAGGTTGTGTTGGATGTCTGTTTCTTTAGTTGATTTGCAACCACTGGAGAAATTATAGGGAACAAAGGGAAAAAGAACCATAAATACAAATGAATTCCTTTTATACAAGTAGAAAAACCATAGGACATGCTCCACTGTTTTTTAACACTCCAGGTGTGATGGGAGATTATGTATCCACCACAGGAGAGAGGAGAGTTAATTAAAATTTTTGCTCTGACTCACAGAAAGAAATGTCTTTTCGTTTGATAAGCAGGCTGGCTTTTTAGTGCAGTATGTGCTTTCTTCTCTTCTCAGTGGAGTGTCATGAAAAAAAACGGATCAAAGGCAGCCTTCCATCCGGATGTGTTTCCTACCACCTTTCTTAGCTAATGGACTTAAAAGTGTCTTCCACTGGTGGTGGCGCTCATCTGTTCTAGAAATGCCACTTTCTCACTCTATTGATAATATGCAAACCGACTGTGATAGATGCTTATGGAAAACCACATTAAAAATTAATTAATTAATTAAATCAAAACCAACCTGGCAGAGTGTCACACCTTCACCTACCATTTGTTATTTTATGCATCAACTCACCTTGTGACTGAGTCAGCACTTGGAATTGAACCTCTCAAGCACCTTGTTTTGTCCTGTTTTCCCTTTTCCTTTTGGTCCTTAGGATTCTGCACACTCTGCCTGACAACTCCTACCCTGAGGGGGGAAAATTGTTTGGGAGAAATCCTGCTGTTTTTCTCTTCAAGATAGTGACAAAAATGAAATAAAATAGAGGAAAATAGAAGCCACAGGGTGAGGCCTGTGAGCGGGGCGGGTCAGGCAGCCACAGGGGTCGTTCATTGTCTTGCAGCTCTGGGTTCCTGCAGAGAAAACCGGGCCAGGCTACAGCCACCAATAAAAGGGCTCCATTCTGCCACTCAGGGCTTTGTGAGGTGCCAAAGCTTGTCCTGGTTGCTATGGCTACTGTCTGATTGTGGTGGGTTTGTCACAGTGCTTGATAAAGTGGGAAGGTTATTCTTGATAGGCCCAAGTAATCATAACCTTGCAAAGCTTGAGAATTTGGATTGAAATTTTTTTCCTCTCGTCTTTAATGCAGGGATGGGGGCAGGGGATTTCTGGATACAGCAGCCATAGGGCTCTTTCTTCCAGGTGGTGAGGGCCTTGCCCAGCAGGAGGGACGGGGCTGTGAAATCTGCCCCAAGGGCCAGCAGAAAGGAGGGCCACTAGCCTCCTGCTGAGCCATCTCCTCAAGCCTGACTGAGGTTTTAGAGAGGACAATGGTGTCCTCTCCTGATCCAGCTGGTAAATTGATTGCTTGTTCTCCTTTCCTTCCTTCTCTCTGTCCCTTCCCCCTTCCTTTACTAGCTTTCCTTCCTTTTCCCTGCCCCATCTGTCCCTGCCACTGGCAGCATTTCTCAGACACAGTGATCCTTTGATCCCCCACCCATTTGTTTGTCTTACACAGCAAGTAACAAAAAAGTTAGATTGGATGTGAAGGCTAGTAGATTATGGCCCCAGAATTATAGACCCTTCTTTTGCCAGAAGAGACCTAAGAGATTACCTAGGTAGTGGTCTCCTTGCTTAGTGGAATCGGTGCTACCGAACACGGATTCCAGCTGTCCCCCACTTCCTGATTGAGCAGATCTGGGCTGGGCCCTAAGAACCTGCATTTCTCACAAGTTCTTAAGTAAGGCCCATGCTGCTGGCTCCAGGGCCAAGCTCTGAAGAGCCACTGCTTCGACCCATACCTATTTCAGTGGAGGCCAGCGGCTTGCCAGGGATCCAGGTGACTGGGTAGCCATGGTGAGGTTAGCACCCAGTTACAGAAGCTCTAACAGCCACTGAAAAGTTGGGTACATCATTCCCTCACTTCTCTTCTTAGTCCAGGACAGCCAGATGGCTAGTTTTTTCCCCCAGATACCACCAGCAGGGCAGCCTCACCAGGCTCCGCCCCCTCCTGAGCTGTGCAGTCCAGGCTAAGTGGCACTGCTGCCTCAAGTTCAGCCCACTCTCCATATGCTAGACTCAGCTTGGTCTTCTGATGTGTACAGGTCCTAGGAAGCCTGCTTTGGCCACTGCTTGGATCCCTCCCTCTTCTGCTGACATTCATTCTTAGCCTGTGGCCCTGCCAGCAGGCCACTTTGAGCTTTGGTTACTTGAATATTTGCGGGCAGGACCAGGCCTTTGGTCACTGCACAGATCCACAATACTAGAGGAATGAATGTGTGTGGGCACATAGGTGGCAAGGAATCTGAACACACATTTGACATTTTCCAAAATCAATGACAGGATGTCAACCAACAGATGGAGAGTTCAGTGTATGTACAGGACAGAGGTGTGGGCAGCATTTTCAGTTTGGGTGAGGAGCCCAGAGTAAGAAGCAAGTCCTGCTGTGTTGAGAATGTTCCCATAGTGAACCCCAGTGTGACGGCTTCATGTTGGGGTTGTCTCCCTGAGTGAACAGGGGTGCATTTTTAAACTGAAAGACAAATGTTAGTCCCTTGTTTGTAATTTGAACTAAAACACGGGCACTGTGCATTGATGGCAGGGTGTGTAACAGGTGAAGTTGCTTCTGTGCACGCATGTGTGCATTGCTGCTGTGGCTGGATGCAAATGACTCTGTCATTTGTCAGATGTAATTTAACTCCCCACGACGCATTTAAATCATCCAGAGCAGAGCGTGTTGTCATATACCCTGACCGTGTCTTTGAGGTAAGGTAATTGTGCTGCTTCACCCTCATGGAACTCACAGGAGGGTATTTGTCCAGAATACCAGAATACATAATAATACAGGACTAAAACAAAATTAATGGATTAATTTTTTGGCTAATTCCTTACCCACTGTGCAGACTAAGTCAGGGCCTGGGAAGAAACCCCATGTTGGCAGTTTGGCTCTGTTATGTGCCAGTGTCGAGGGTCCTTGCCTTCACAGGCCAGAGAACTGGCTCGTGAGGCAGCTGAATGATAGGCCAAAGCCCATATATAAAATAGGATTTATTAGAGAGAAAGGAAAGGCTACAGCTAGAGAAGCGCAGTGGAGCCCGGAAGCCGGTGGCTCGCTGCACAGGTGAGGGCTGGGGTTTTTATGGACGTTTTAACTCTGGGTTAGGTGGGTTTTTCTTATTGGCCGTGGATTCGCGGGCTTTCTCAGGTGAACTGGTTTGGTCAGCACCTTTATTGGGGGAAGGGAACAATCTTGAGAGCATTTTGCTCTTCAGCCCAGTGGCAGATCTGTATCTCTCCTTTAGGATGCAGGAATGCAGGCCTCCATCTCCTCAGGAGGCAGGAATGCTACTGCTCTCCATGGGGGATGGGACACTCACTCATCTGCCTTAGGTCTCCAGACCCAACAGCTCCAAACTCTTAACTCTTCTGCATGCTTCAGAGAACCCCCTCTCTGCTCTGTTCTGTTGGGTTGGTGAATGGAACAGTCCCCACTGCTGGAGAGCTGAGCTGAGGCAGCAGGGACACTCATAATGACCTTTCTCCTCCAGGGGGTGGAGGTGCAGACAGACTACGTGCCTCTGTTGAACTCACTGGCAGCTTACGGCTGGCAGCTCACCTGTGTACTACCAACTCCTGTCATCAAAACAACCAGGTAACAAGACCGGTAGTTATTACTGCACACTTACCCTGGGCGAGGCACTGTTGCTGTATCTGTGCGGATGACCTGTTTAATCCTGGGACTGGCCTCTAAGGCTGGTGTGGTTACCAAGCATGTAAACTCTCGAGATGATAGAGGCAGAGCCAGGGTTTTGCTTCTTCCCGTCATCACCCAGATCATGTTCCTCACCCCTCCTCCACGAAGGAGCCCTACCCAGGAATCAGGACTGCGATTAGCCATTTAGGCTAAATTCAGCACCTAATCTGCGCCTGGTGCTAGACTAGGTCTACATTGTATACAAAATCTCAATCCTGAAACAGAAGGGGAGAGAGGAAGGGTCCTGTGGCTTGTTTAATCTTACTATGTTTTGTGACACAGGGTGTCTTCTATGTAGCCCAGGCTGCCTCAAACTCATGGTCCTATGCCTCAGCTGGGATTGCAGGTATGAACCCCCACGCCTGACTGGATTTTTAAAAAATTAAACCCATTTTATAGCCAAGGAAAGTATGGCCAGGGATATTAAGGGACTTGTCCAAGATCAGGTATCCCCACAAAGCAGATATGAAGACATGGAGTCTTAGGCCTTGCTTGTGGCATTCCTGTAACTGCAATTTCACATTCCTGGATGTTTGTTCTCCCTCAGCTCTGCCTGTCATACCTTGAACCCAGTCACAGCAACCTTCCTTCATCTATACACTGGGTTTGCTGTCTGAATTAGACCTCCTAACCTTCCTGGGGGTTGTAAGCATAAAAATGATTCCTGCTTTATGATGGAAATGAGGCTCAGAAAGGCCCATAGCCTATATGTGTCAGAACCTTGGCCTGGAACCTCAGTCTGCAGTCAGGCAGGAACTACCTCTGTATCAGGTGGACGCTCTGATGGCCTGTAGGGGTGCCCCAACCCCACCCACTGTGGCCCTTAGCATTCTCCCTTTCCTGGCTCCCCTGCATACTCACTTCTGTAGGGCCCGTGTGGTTGAGAACAAAGCATGACGGGCATGACCCTGGGTCCTCCTGTGACTTCTCTGTGCCCTCAGCTCCAGCCCCTCCTGATACTAGGTCATGATGTAATCACTCTGTGGCCACCCCTGGCCACTGAGAGCCACCATACTATTTCTCAGACAACACTTCTGCAGGCCCAAGGCAGTGCAGCAGGGCAGAAAGCACCCTGGATTTATGGCCAGAAGACTTGAACACAGTCCTGAATTTACTAACTCTGCCATCCTAGTTAAGTCCCATAGCTTTTTTGAGTCAGTTTCCAGATGACAAAACCATGATAGAAGGAACTTGAACATAAAGCCCCAGCTGGTTCTGAGCTGTCCAAGCCCACTGGGCCCAGACAGGTCTCACATTCATACCTGCTAAGTGATCCTGCCTGATCCTCTCATTCCATCCCTCATGGTGGAGTGGAGAGGGTGCTCAGGGTTGGATAGATTCAGTGTTTGAATCCTTGCTGTGTGGGCTGGAGCCTGCCCCTGAACCAAGCTTTTGTTTCCAGTCTGAGAAAGTAGGAGTCAGTTGTCTTGGAGTGTTGTGGTGAGGCCTATGTGTGAAGTCACCAGCCTGGCCCCTGGCACGTCATGGGTGCCAAGCAAATGCTAGTTCTTCACCTCCTTTCCCTGCAACTCTTGACTGAATGCAGCGAAAAGATGTTTGTAAGATAGAGATTTAAGGAAGCAATCAGAGCCGAGTGCTGGTGGCTCACGCCTGTAATCCTAGCTACTCAGGAGGCAGAGATCAGGAGGACTGTGGCACAGAGCAGCCTGAGCGAATTAGTCCATAAGACCCTATCTCAAAAAAACCCAGCATAAAAAAGGGCTGGTGGAGTGGCTCAAGGTATAAGCCCTGAGTTCAAGCCTCAGAATCACACACACACAAAAAAAAAATCAGAAGGATGGAGGCAGGAGAAAACAATGCTCTCCTCTGCAGAAATACTACAGAGGAGTATTTCTCCTCCATGGGATCCTGTCTTCCCTATATCATAGCAAGCCAGCAGCCCCTTACCTGATGGTCAGTGAGGGTCAGAGCTGATAACTAGGTGGCTGAGCCCCCATGTCAGCCCTGCCCTCTGCCTTCTGTCATCGTTGAAGGCCTGAACTTGTCACCCAGGTCCTTATCCACCTGCTCCTGGCCATCATTACCAAAGACAGAGTTGGAAAAGGCCCCACCCCTTTCAGACTCAAGGAAGCAACCAGTGTGTCCTCACTTGACCCAAGATGCCAGCTGCCACTTCCCATCAAGGGAAAGGGAAAAAGGATTTCCTAGCTAGGAAACTGACTTTAGGGACACCAAGAACCTTTGGTTGGCATCAGTGATCACCTCTGCCTTAGAGGTGGGAGAGTGGAGTGGGGCGATTCTGACCTCTCACCTTTCCTTTGCATGAATAAGGCTAGGGTTGCACTGTCTGAGTCAGGCTTGGGGTGCCTCCAGGTGTCACATGACTTACCCTCAGCTCACTCTGTGTTGTAGGGAAGGGAGTGTATCCACCAAGCAGATTGTCTTTCTTCAGAGACCATGTCTACCTCAGAAAATCAAGAAAAAGGAATCCAAGGTAAGAGATCTTGACAGCCCTCCTGGATTTTCCTCAGCCAGGCTTGGCTTCCAGCGGGGTCTTGCAGCAGTTGCATAGGCAGTCTGCCTTAACTTCTAAGGGCTCTCAGAGCCCAAGGAACACCAGAGCCCACGGCAAAATGGGTCACACTGGAGGCTGCTGCAACAGGGCAGCTGAGAACCAGTGGGCTGTTCTGTAGGTTCCCTGCTGGCCAGGCTGGAAGGACAGGGGACAGAGGCTCTTCTTGTTACTGCACATGCCAGATTGTCCCACAAAGCCAAAAATAGTGCACAAGTCAGCTGGCCTGACCAGGAGTGGCAATGGCTTCAGCTTATGGCCAGCTTCCTGTATGTTAATCTCACCACAAGCAGGCTGGAGCTCTGGCCTGCTGGCTAGAGCCCTTGGGCACCAGAAGTTTGCTGATCTTGGCAGAGGGACTCTGCCAGAATTCCTTCTGGACAAGCCCCAACTAAAGGCCTTTGAGTAACAGCTTGTGATACAGATGAGGGAGGTATAAACTGTGTATAAGTCCTCAGGCTAGGCTGTGCTCAGGGGTCCTTGGGGCTCTTTTCTCACTCGCTGGGCTTCTCATGGATTACCCTGGCACAGCTGCACAGAGAGACCGTGGCCATTCTGAGTCTTCTTTGTGTTTCCTTGTCCCCTTGTCCCATGTGATTCTGAAGGCTTCTCAACCCCATGCTTTGCAGCATGTGGGTGCTTTTCTGTGTGTTATGGTTTGAACCCTAAACATACCCCAAAGGCTCATGTGTTGAAGGCTTTGTCCCCAAATGATGACGCTACTGGGATGTGGTAGGGCCTAGTAGAAGAAAGTTAGGTCATTGAGGGTTTGCCCTTGAAGGGGATACTGGAATCCTGGCCCCTTTCACTTCTTGGCCACCGTGAAGTGAGCAGCTCCTGTGCCACCAGCTCTCTGCCGTGATGTGCTACCTTGCCATAGGCCCAAAGACAATGGAATTCTCTGAAACCAGAAACCAAAGTAAATCTTTCCTTCTTTTGATTTTCTCAAGTATATTGTCACAATCACAGAAAACTAACACACTGTGTGTATCACCAGTTTCTCAGGAAGAGGCCAGTAAGTTGGGGGAACTGACCAGAGCCTGGCAGGTGTCACCAGGATCTGCCTCTCTCTTTTTTGACCAAGGCCACACTCAGGCAGAACCTGCTCAGCTCTGCACACTTGGCACAATCCTCATGTTCCCCACTCTTGGTTCCTCGAGTTCTTTGGACACAGAGCCTTGGACAGGAGCATCCCTTCAATGAACAGATTGGAGTAGCCCCTCACCAGCCAACAAATCCAGAGGGTGCCCACTGGTGGAAGGAGCGCCAAGGCAATGGTGACATGAAGCCAGATGGGCCGGAGTGTAGAGAAAGGTCTCTCTCCAGTATTTAAGGCCATAAGTGGCAGTTGACAGCAGCAATGGACCAGAAGGCAGCCGCTGATCCACCATTAACCACCAGGAGCAGTCAGCCACCGGCTGGAAGATGGATGACTACAGACCTTTGTTAGGTCTCACTGAACTGCACCATTCATAGAAAGTGACATTTGATAAGCAGCACACAAGGCCTCCTGCCAGATGCTGGAAAGAATCGGGCTTTGGCCCTTACAAGGAAGATGGTGCTGCCTTTCTGTGCCGGAAGTCTGCTCGTGGTGTAGCATGATTTTCATAGGACGTTCTTGGCCTTTCACAGAGTCAGTGTCAACATAAGCCAGCAGCAAGATTTTTGAGGGATTTTTAAACTTGCTGTAAGAAGGTATTGACTTTCCTCAGGGAAAACCCAGAGAGTACAGGAGCCATGTGTTTCTAGTCAGTCAGAACTTCCAATCCTAATCAGCGAGACAAGTGACAGGTAGATAGCTTCCTCTTCTAATGCACCTATTTCCTACATAATTCTAAGAGTGGAGGTGACAGGTGTTGGGCACTTGTTCTGTGTGAGACCCTCTGGGTCACTTCACTGGTAAAGTCCCAGGAGAGGGGACTTTGCAGACAAACTTCTTGGAAGAATCCCTTGCACTTGGTGTGTCTCCATCTCTTTATCCCCATCATTAACACCTCAGCCACGGGGGTGTACATCTCCACATGACCCGACAGCAACTCCATCCCATCCTGATCATGGCTTCCACAGCTCCAACAGTGTGAGCTGCACCATTGGCTCTTGGTTCTGCCCTACACATTCTCCTGATTTCCTATCACATTTCTCGGGGTCAGCCCCATTTCTCCATTCACTCTCACCTCTTTCCTAGAGAATCTTCATCTCCAGGGCTTCTCTCACTTCTCCATGCAGGAGACAGTTACATCTGCATTTTCAGCCCTTGCTATGCCTCTGAGAGTCCTGCTCTGTCTATCATTTGCTCCACTTAAGAGCATGCACGTGACTTTGCCCTCCCGTGCTTAGCCCACCTCCTCCTATCTAGAGGAGCAACACCCATGGGACCCACCAGAGGTCCTTCCTGACTCACCCTCACCTTTCCCCTATACTCAGTCTACCCTTAAGACCTGTCTGGTTTAGGCCCTAGAAACTCTGGTGTCCCTCCACCATCACTTGCTCCAACTACTCCAGTCTCCTAGTAACAGGATGCCCCATGTTTTCTCTTCAGAACCAAAGTGGTCTTTTAAAAAAGTCAAGTAAGCCAAGGTGCCAGCAGCTCACACCTGTAATCCTAGCTACTTAGGAGGCAAAGATCAAGAAGACTGCGGTTTGAACCCAGCCCAGGCAAATAGTTCATGAGACCCTATTTTGGAAAACACCCCACACACACAAAAAAAGGGGCTGGTAGAGTGGCTCAAGTGGTAGAGCACCTCCTAGCAAGCATGAGGCCCTGAGTTCAAACCCCAGTACCGCTAAAAAAGAAAGAAGTCAAGTGAATCATGTCACGCCACTCCTTAAAAACAGTTCTACAGCCGCATATGATTCTTAAAGCTGGAAATCTGCACTGTATCCCATGAGGCTACTCTGACCTCTTCTGCCTTCCACTCAGCATTCTAGCCACATCGTCCTCCAAGTTCCTCTGTATCCCCTTGCCTTTGCTTTGGTTGTCCCTTTTGCCTAGGATGCTCTCCTTCATTGTGTCTCCACTCAGGCATCCTTTCCTGGGACAATGCTGTCTTCTTTGAGGCCAGTGACACTGAGGAAGAGCCACATTCTTGCCTTGAGGAGCTCTGCTCTGGGGGTCCCCTCTCCAGGAGGAGTCAGACATTCACTCCATGAGAGCACAAGCCTTTCCCTCTGATGAGCTGGGTTTTAGTTACTGCTCAACAGATATCTATTGACTCAATGAATACTCATTCAATCAAACTTCTGAGCCCAGAGCACACATATTATGCCTTGCATTGAGACTGAAGAAAGAAATCACAGGATTGGCACACTAGGGTTGTGGCATTCTCTGTCCTCTCTTAATCAGTGACATGGACAAAATTCTCCAATCAAGACATTTCAGCATTTGAAAAGAATCTCTGTGTATGTGAGATTTCCAAAGCAAACAAATGCCTTCAAAGGAAATAGATGAATTCTACCACACCAGAAATAAGCAAATTAAGCCCATCAGCCCCTGCTGACAGGGAACTCTAGGCTCACACTGCAGTGGAGTGGAGAACTTTTTTTTTTTTTTTTCTTTCTATAGTTATTTCTGAGTTGGGTGGCTAGTTGGGTTTGGTGGCACCCCTAGGTTCCATAGCCACTCTTTCATAGCTCAGGAAGCCCCTGACTCAGAGCAGCTGGTTGACTTTCTGGCATGTTGATTGAGCTACACACTCCCTGCTGTGGGTCAGATCTGGAATCAGCTCTCTCTCTAGGCAAGACTGCCTGCTCTAAAGTGTGTGGGAGTCCAGACCCCACCTCAGAGGCTCCACCTGAAAGGCAGGCTGCACACTGGACTCCCCTTGCTTTCGGAACATCTTTTATACCTTAGGACCTGGAACCGTTTTTGCCGCATGTTAAGTTATGCCTGCCCCATGCTTAAAAGAGAAAAAGAGGGCTTTATGGCAGAGGGGCAGGTGTGAAGGCAGAAGGCAGGCAGGGAGGAAGCCTTTCCCCGGATGGCAGAGCTAGGACTGTGGAAGGCTGGGGGGAGAGTGGTTTATTTTTCTTCCCAGGTTTCTCCAGTCTCCCAGTCCTGTCCAGGTATTTTTTGTAATTCAGTGGTTTTCAAAATGTAGCCTGAGGACCAGCAGTGTCAGCATCACGTGGGAGCTTGTTAAAGTGCAAAGCCTGCTCCCCTCCCCAGGCCCACTGAGTCAGACCCTCTGGGACTGGGACAGGGTGGGCAGCTGCATTTTAATGAGCTACTCAGGGCTGAGCAGGGGTCTTAGAGGGACAGTTCGGGACTTCTCCGAGGCTCAACTGTGGGCCTCCATTCAAATTTTATCCTAAATGATCAGAAATGGGTCTGTCAGGGAGCTTTCAGTGTAGATGTCTGTCTTTAGTAAGCTGATCCAAAGTATCTTTACTGGCAGTGAATCTGGACTTCCATTAGCAAACCAAGGACCTGACCAACACGAAAAGCTTGTTCTCTGAAAGCCTGAACTTACGAGTGGGCTGAGCCACTCCAAAGATGTAACCTCTCCTGTCACTTCCTGTGGAGCAAGAGACCCAATTCTTTTTTGCTAAGATGGAGAGGATAGGAAGGCATAGCTGCAGAAATCAGACTTTGAAGTCCAGCTCTGCTACTTCTTAGCTGGGTGATTTGGGGCCAGTTGCTTATACCTCTCTGAACCTCTGTGTGATCATGTTTAAAACACAACTAATGCTTACAGAGGAAGTTGCTTTGGGAATTCTGGGAAATGTGAACGCTAGTCACAGTGTGAGGCACAGCATGAGCTGTCCCTTCCTTGGCAGGTGCTCCAAGGCAGTTGCCTTTGCAACTGTGAACTTGGAACTTCTAGATTCCAGTGTCGGAGTGTAGACAATTGTTCCTTACCTGCTTCTCAACAGCCTTCCCCTGCCAAGGAAGAACAGCGGTAAGGGGTGGAATCCAGCTTCCTGGGGACTAGCTGCAGCCCCTGTGACAGCTGTGGTGGGATGGGGGCCCGGGTGGCACTGGGAGTCATGAAGCCACTCATGAACCCATCTGAAGGCACAGAAAACAATGTAGTCCTAGAAGGCATTTGGCTGGCATATTTTTTCTGTGATGACTCTGAGGGCAGAAAGAGACTGAAATCATTCCAGTCTTCTGCCCAGTGTCCAGGGAAGTACCCTGGAGAAAAAGGCTGAGGGCCTGCCCCATCTGCGTGCTGTCAGGTTTCATCAGGAAGACACAGAATGTGATCTCCTACAGGAAAGGATGTGGCCAGGTTTCCATAAACGTCCTCTGTTTACTTAGCAAGAACAGCCCAATTCAGCATCTGGGCTCATGTTGGAAAATGACACGTCTTAGGGCTGGAAGTTCTGGCACAGAGTGGAACCATCTTCAGTGGGGCACTGTCCAGATGCAGAGGGCACCACTCACAACAGCTACAGTGTGGACAGGGCAGAGTGCAGAGACAGCTGTTTTAGAGATGAGGAGACTCACAGAGATTAACCACTTACCCAAGGCCTGACAGGTAGCCAGTGCCAGAACTGGAATTTGAACTTGGGGCTAAGTAACCACACTACAGTGCTTTGATGTCAGCACGGAGGCCTCTTAGCCAAAACAGTCTCACCACTTTTTTGGCAAAAATCAAACTTCCTTTGACTTCTCTGATAGTCTCTCAGAGGACATAAAATGGGCAGGTTTCATTCCACTACTTGGCCTGTAGTGACTCCACTGTGGGAAATGTGAAACTGGGGTGGGAGGAACTGCTTTATGAGAGCTGTCACCCCAAAAATGAGTGACAAAGGAGAAAACCCAGCCAGCATTGTAAGCAAACTTACTTGGGGAATTTTAGGGGCTAGAATAGAAGGTACAGGATAAACATCAAATCCTAACCTCAACATGTATTTCATCTGCTTTTTCTCTACTTTGATGGAATATTCAAGTTTACTAGTCTTCTCTAAAAGGTGTTAAATCCAGGAATCCCAAAATACATTATATCTCAGAACCTGTGCATGTTTAGACTGATGTTTTATTTGAGGAAACAGATCCGTCATGGAAAATGTGGGCTGGTTTAAAAACTTTGATTTAGCACATTTTGGGTTTTCTCAGCAAAGTGCTCAGAATTGCGTGCAGTGTGGTTAGTTTTCCACCGATGGTACATCTGCATTCCTGACTTCCCTTTCTGGCCCTGTACGACATCGTGGGAACTGAAGGCTCCCCTTTTTTATTTTTAACTTAAATGTTTTGGTTTTTTGAGGCAGGGTCTCACTATGTAGCCCAGGCTGGCCTTGAACTCATGATCCTCCTGCCTCAGCCTCGCTGCCACCACCGCCATCACCATGCTCGGCTCCTTTATTTTTCTTTCAATCACAGAATGTCTAAGATTCAAGTATATACTTGGTGTGGTCAGTATGGTGTAATTGACGCAGAAGGAAGTGACTGTGGTCAGAACCTGAAACTGGAGTCCCGGAGTGTACTGTGGGCCACTGAGATGAGAAAACAGGCTGACAGGTCTGGGCAGTGAGTGGGACAGCCGGATCTCTCCCAGGCAGCTTCATTCCAGGACTTTGATAAGACCAGGACCCATGCTCAGCTCTATTACTGGCCACATGACCTGGGACTCTTGAGCCTCTGCTGGCTTCCTGTCACATGGGGAAAAGCTTGGTTGTAGGCTGGCTCCCTGGGAAGCAGCCTCTGGGATAGACTTGGGGGGGAAGCTTCCAGAGGGAGTGCCCTTAGGACAACGTGCGTGCAGGAAGGGCAGGGGGAGAAACTGGGTGGTGCTGCAGTGGCATCCCCTTCCTCTTCCCCTCCAATGGCTCTGGAGCTGGGATGGCCTTCCAGGGCTGGCACAAGGAGATGGGAGCAGCCACTAGTTGTGGGCTGCCCTGGGAGTGCCACCTTGGGAGCCATGTTGGTCAGACAGGCCTGTCAGCAGGCAACAGTCCCTGCAACTGGAAAGGAACCCACCAGTCCTGCAGGGGAGCTTGTGGGGGTGGTGCAGCAAAGCGTCTGTGCCATGTTCTCTGCCCCGCCTACTTGGGGTGAGCTGGGGAGAGAGTGCTGCCCAGTGCTTGGTCATCCTCAGCCTGCTGGGAACGGAGAAGCTGCAGTGCTGGCCCCTGGATGGAGGGCTACCTCACACACTCCTATGCCCCAGACCTCCCCATGACAGCATTTCAGAATCCCCTTTCCCACTCTACCTGTGCTCCCACAGCACCCCAAACCCACATCTAGAATATAGGCCCTGGAAGGCACGGCACAAGTCCTGGGGGTGGTGTCGCTCAGGGAATCCTGGAAACTGGCTGGTGGGAATGAGATGGGCATGAATGCAAACAAGCCTGTAGGTGAGTGAAGCCCTAGGTTCCCGAAAGCTCATTTATTTACCCCCTCCTCTCACTTCTAGTTTCAGTGGCGGTTCTCCAGAGAAGAAATGCACAGCAGGCAGACGAGGAAATCCAAAGGGAAACTCAGCGCCAGAGATAAACGACAAGCAGAAGAAAACGAGAAGAATTTAGAAGACCAGTTCTCCAAAGCTGGGGATGTGGGAAACTGTGTGGCAGGTGGGCAGCAGGAGGGTGGAGGCGCTGAGATGAGGGGCCCTGAGCCTGAGGTCAGAGCAGAAAGGCAGAGTGGGGTTGCCGTGCAGAATGGTCCTGCTGGCTACAGCAGGGCCCAGGCAGTCCCCCGGCACTCGGGTCCTGGAGAGGATGCCGAAGTTGCTGCAGAGCCTGCTCCAGAAGACAACTAAGTCCTGGGCAGTTTGTGCTGAAGCTAGACAAGGTGGCAAACCCAGTTATCTTGCTGGCAGCTGGTTTGCCCTGGTGTTGTGTGTTACCCTTTGGCTTGGCTTGACCTCTCCTTGTGAGCTCACCCGAACCCTCTGAGGGCCGGTCCTTGACAGTGTTGGTTTCTGCACATCCATTCAAAAGGCGTCTTAATGACCCCAAATTAGAATGCAAGGTCGTGTTCTTTTAGACCTCAGGGGTCCTGGCTACGCAGGGCTGTTGTGCAGTGTCTGTCCCCTGCTGCTTTGTGCAACTATTTGGTGATTTTGAACAACCCTTGGAGCTCTGCGGACTGCCCTTCTCCACCTACAGCCTGCAGATATCCTGCTGCTTTGGCAAAAATGATGACATTGAGGAGGGGAGGTGGCCAGCCTCTCACTTCTCTCAAAGTAGTCCTATAGATGCTGGTAATGTGGAAAGGAAGAGGTAATTCTGTGTGCACCTGTTCTTGCAGAACATTCAAGAAAGTTTTCTGTGTTAGTATTAATGCCAAAAAACTTTTTTAAAGATTTTGTATTCAGCACATCCTAGGAATACATGTTCCTCTCATTTCAGGGCATCCGGGCTGGTCGCACACCTTGTTATGTACAATTTTATCAGTGCGTCATTGGCCAAGTACCCACGTATGCTGTGTCTATCACGCGTTTATGCTGTCCAGAAAGCATTGTTAAGGCTTTAAGTAGACACATCTGGCAACTGGAGAGAGAATGTCATTACTTGACGGAAACAACAACCTGTCTTTCTTATTTCGCTACTTAAAGCAATAAATCATCTTGAGTTTAGTACCCTGTGAGTAGTATTTATCATGTCACAACAGGAGTGCCGGCCTAGTGTCCAAAGGACTCCACCCCTCATCCCCGAGTCGTGTTTTAAGTCTCAAACTCCTGTCGGTGCAACAAACAAGGCTCCTGTGGAAAACAGCAGAGCCAGCTAAGCACACTGCTCCTGCCATCTACCAAAGAAAGAGGGAAGGTGGAACTCACATGGCACCAGGTGAGTGAGGTTGTAGGTGGTAGAGACGAGCACCTTTCAAACTGAACAGAAAACCCATCAGCTTCTAAGTAAGGCAAGTTTATTTAAAAAAAAAAAAAAAGGCCATCTGTAATGTGTTTCACAGGTACAAATGAAAAGTCTTGGACAGTCACATTAGGCCCTTTGACAAATTGCCCAACCCTCAGAGCCTAGAAAGGTTGAATGGCCAGTTCACAGACAACTGTTCTTAAAATTATACTCGGACATTAGTAGATATGTACATTTCTTTCTTTTTTTTTGATGGTTCTGGGATTAAACCCAGGGCCTCATGCATGCTAGGCAAGTGCTCTACCATTGAGCCATACATTTTGATTTAATACCAATACCACTTAGCACATTTTTTTAAACTAGTGCTGTGTACTAAGTCATAACAGATAGGAACAAAAATGAATTCAAAAACTTTAGAAAGAATAAAATTCCAGGCTGGAGGGCCTTTTATTGCTCAGCTTTGGGTACAGTTTTCAATAACTAAGTGACATTTATGTTGGCTGTATTTGCTATGGGAAAAAAAGTAAAGGTGACTGCAGCTAATTTGAATTATTCAGGGAGTCTGCCCTAGTGTCAGGCTAACAAATTATTCCAAAAGGTCTCCTTTTCTCTCCCTTGCTTCCCTCCACCCTTGCTGATTCCAGCAGCGTCAGTCTACAGTGGGCAATCTCAAATTACCAGCACCAAAACAGGGCCTGTCCTCAGAGTGGTGAATGGATGGTCTGGGAGCAGCCTGGATGTTAGCTCTCTGGGGGATTCTAAGGTGTGGTCAAGGTTGAGAACCAGTAGCCACAAGGTCTCTATAAATGGAATCAGTTGTTTGTGAAATGAAACAACTTTGCTTTTCCCAAATGGTAAATAACCAAGGCCTGAAAGCCCAAACCTGCATGTGCTTCCTGAAGAAATCCCATTTTCCTGTGACTGCCCACAGGGTAAAAAGGCCATCCTTCCACAGCCTGGAGAAATAAGAACTCTGACCATGTGATGTCTGCATGAGGCAGGTGCTAGTCTTTGGGGCTGTGGTTGTCACAGTGGTCTACAAGAAATGGGGAGCCTGGGGGTGATCAGGTGACTAAAATGCACCACTTCTCTGAGCTGAGGCTGGATTTTGATTCATGCACTGGGGAAGTATTTTTAAGACCCACTCTTGACCTCCAGAAGTTCAGGAAAGGGTTAGTTATTTCCAGGGTGATACGGGGAGGGAGATGAATTACCAAGTTCACTTAGAGAAATGCATGTGTGTTAAGGACCTTGGGGTCAGAGTGCTGATGTGGAAAGCCTGAGGAGACCTCTATTAACAAAGTGGGGATGCTTTCATGTCGGGTCTCTGGTTAGGATGCTAGCTGCAAAGTTTACAGGTTAACTTCAAGTCTCCCCAAGTGTGGAAAAGGGCTAATGGCACTTACCTCCTCAGATTTTTCTGAGTTAAAAAGGTATGTGTAAAGTGCTTGGTCTGTGGGCAGCAGTTGACCATGGGCTGACGGGTAATAAATGTGGCAGAAACTGGTGGTTTCACCCAGTATCCACAAACTTCTATATACCTCCTGGCCCTTTTGCAATTAAGGACTATGACCCTGGGCTGAGAGGATGGACGTGACCTTTATAAATACCCCCTGGCATAGTTCAAGATGGACCATGATGGCAGTGCTACATAACCCTCGCTAGGCCACTGAGAGGCTGAGATTTATCTTTACTGAAGCACATCTCCCACCTTAACAAATACATTATATTATACAGTAATATAATCTATGCAGTGGTTATACATATCAAAGGTAAGTATTTGCTGGATCCTTGTCTTGTTTAAATCTCTGAATGTTCATGCTACAGCAGAGTTGCCAATGGTGGATGGGAGCAGCTTCTAATTCATTTTGTATGAAGCACGTTTTATCAGTCCTCTAAATGAAACAAATTAATCATGGCTGATCTGTACCACAGAACCGCTGTCAGCTGTGGCAGTGCTTATTAGCAGGAGCATATTGACCCCATGCCATCGCTCACGCAACACATTTTGGTAGAGCTCTTACCTGGTGTGAGGCTGCAGACCAGCAGCCTGATACAGGCTGTGTCTGGCTAGAACTCACAGCATCTGGGATTAAAGGTCAAGTGGGGGGGGGAGGACACTCAAGCAGCCAGGGGCTCACACTGACTCCCAGTCACTGCAGCAGGTCTTTCCAGAAGCCCCACCGGAAGTGCAGGTCAGCTCTGCGTGAGTACAGCAGGGTGGGCCCCTGTGATTAGCTCCTGCCCGCTCTGTGACCCGCCAACGTGACTGATGCCGCTTCCCAGTAGAGTCTGGGTTTCCTGTACCTGGCTCCCAGAGTCTGGAACAGGGAAGCATGTGAATGTTAGAGCTCAGGACAGGCCCAGTAGGCCTTTGGCTGGGATTTCTAAGGTGCCTGTTGCCAAAGAAGAAAGCAAAGCAACATTCACCACAGGTTCCTATTGATAGGAATACTTTCTATGGTAAGACTAAGGAAACTAACCCTGGGTGCAGAACAGCTGGCTCTCAGAACTGGGTGTGCTTGCTTCTCCAGGCCTGCCAGAGAGCCCGGCACTTTCTTCCAGCAGGGGAGCAGGCTTCATAACAGACCCACATGTCGAGGTGGGCATGAAGGATTAAACTATTCACTGTAGAGAGCTTTTAAAATTCCTGCACAATTGTGCTAAGTGCTGAGAAGACAACAATCACAAGGGCCTTGTGAACCATGATAAGGACTTTGGTGCTCATGGTAAGAGTAAGGGGAAGCCATTGTTTAGTTTTAAGCTGGGAAATGACATCAGATTTTTTTTTTTGGTGGGGGGGTTGGAAAATAGAAAGCAGCAGCTGATGAGGGAGGTATCATCATCATGTGTGTGGTAATACAAAAGAGAATAATGGTGGCACACACAGTCATAGGTGTTAGTGGTGAACTAGCCTGGCTGTCAAATGCACACAGAGATGGTTTATAATCCCCAAATTGGTTGACTGGTAAAAGAAGAAAAGTTTGTTATCCTATAACTAATGCAATAAAACATACATTTCTATATTTAAATGTGTTACTCAGTAGTCATCAAGTTCAGAATGAATCAACTTTTCAGCTGTCTGTAAGTATTACAAAGGCTTAATAATGTTAAATATATTTTACTTACTAAGGTGAGGATTAAAATGCTTTCTGAAATGACCTCTTGGGTTCGATGAATCTTTAATCCTGGGTACCTCCAACCATGTTGATTCTCTTTTAACATATTGTTGTACTGGGGGTACACTGTGACATTTACAAAAGTGCTTATTATAATGCATATTAGTTAAATTCACCCCCTCCATAATTCTCCTTTATCACCCCTCCCATGTTGATTCTGTATCAAAAAGAACAAGAAAATCCGGGCACAGCAGCCTATGCCTATAATTCTAGCTGTTTTTGAAGCAAAGGATCGAAGTCCAGGCCAGCTCAGGCACAAATGTGAGCCTATTTGAAAAATAAGCAAAAAGGCTGGCAGAGTGGCTCACGTGGTAGAGTGTCTGCCTAGCAAGTATAAAGCCCTTAGTTTTAACCCCAGTACCCCCTCTCTCTCACACACACACACACGCACAAAGAAAATCATCTTAAAGAACCAGAAAACTTACCAATTTCTGGATCCATAGAATACCCAAGTTAATAACTGTGGAACTCTTTTTTTGTTATAAAGCCAAGAAACTATCAATTCAGCCTGTCTTAGTCAAGTCTAAATTTTCTTAGACTCCACCATTACTCTTTTGCCCTGACTTCAGGGGTCCTCCACATCAAACCAAACTTACTCTGTCAACATTGGACATGCAAGAAACTGTCATTGCAATGATTAATCAAACACCTGAAGACAGGTAAGACACTCCTGTTAGCTCTCAACCATGGTCAACCTCAACTCTCCTTGATCTAGAAGGTCCATTTTTCCACTGTGAAATTGTGAAGCATGTTAAAACTAAAAGGGATGTGCAGTCCTATCCCCTTGATAAACAAAGCAGCTTATAGAGAGAGCTGGAATGTATCATACAACAAATTATAGAATGGGAATGACGTAGGTCTTCCTGTGGCCTGGCGCCATGTTCCTGCCACATCCCACACAGGCTCAGTTTTTGCTTCTTCTATGAACCTATGGTCGCTAAGATCAGACAGGCCTAGTTGGATTAAAAGGGCCCATGTTCTCACTTAACTGCAGTGTTCTAGAGATGGGTGTTTTGATTAACTGATTTTTCTTAAAAAAAAATGGAGGAGAACCTATCCCTTTAGTGGTGGGGAGATTTTGGAAGAAGCCTGGGGCTAAAAGTTTGTAAGGTGAAGTACTCTAAAAGGAAAGGAATAAGGACCAGGTTCTGTAGGTCTGGCTTTGTCACTCTCCCCAGATGTGACCACTCAGCCTCATCTCCCTTATTGCTAAAATGAGAAAAGAGCATTCATTCACTCTGCCTAACAAAATATTAATGAGACAAAGTTCTTGTCAAACGCCAACTATAATAGAGCTCTAACCAAAATCCAGATCACCACCAAATTCAGGTTAACCCAGAGTTACTACTTCCCATCACTTTTCCATTGTAACTTTGCCTGTGAAAGCAGAGTTGTAATGGCATCCATCAGACCTGTTTGTGTTTAACCTGGAAATGAAAAGGTATGGTAAAGCATACACAGAATATACTAAAAAGCAAAAGTAACTAAAACAGAGGACAGCAAGATGGCTGAATGGGAGCACCCAGCACTCACCTATTCCTCCAGAAAGAAGAACCAAAGGAACAAATATGGAGACAAGGTGAGTGATCATG